AAGGCACTTGATGATCACTCCTATGATCATTATGTCCTAGTTAAAACTTGCAGGTTTCTGAACACGGGTGGAGGGCATCAGGAAACGGACATGGAATTGAGAGGCACTTTAACAAGCTCTCTGACCTTAGATTCAACCTCTGAGCCCCCATTACATCTGAGTATTTTGTTACCCATTTCCTGAGCAACAATACGCAACATGAAGAATCCCATTATTTGGGCAACTATATGGCAGATGAGGTTTAATGTTGAAAAATGTAAAGTAATGCATTTGGGGTTAAAAATAGGCAAGAAGAATACATATTAATGGGTACACAACTAGGGAAGTCAGAAATGGAAAAAGATTTGGGGGTCATTGTAGACCACAGATTGAATACTAGCTTGCAATGCCAGGCTGCGACAAACAAAGCGAGCAGAGTTCTGTCTTGTATTAAAAAGGGAATGTACTGTAGAGATAAAGCGATCATTTTGCCACTTTATAGATCGCTGGTTTGGCCACATCTGGAGTGTGCGGTCCAGTTTTAGTCACCAATCCACAGAAAAGATGTCCTTGAGCTGGAGAGAGTCCACAGAAGGGCAACAAAACTAATTAAGGGGCTGGAGGACCTAAGCTATGAGACAAGGTTATTATATTTAAACATGTTCACGCTGGAAGTGAGGAGATTAAGGGGGACATGATTTTGATGTATAAAATGTTTAGTGGTGATGACAATATCAGCAATAATCTTTTTACAGTAAGCTCCATAACAAGGACTAGAGGCCACCACCGAAAATTGGTAGAGAAAAGATTTAACCACAAGGAGTGGTAGGGACTTTTTTCAGTTAGAGCGATTAGGCTCTGGAACTCGCTGCCACAAGCAGTGGTATCAGCTGAGAGTACTGAATCATTCAAAAATCAATCAAATACCATTGTAGGAGACCGTAACATACAGGGGTACAGGTACTCTTAAAAACAAGATCACACAGGGACTTGTGTACACACATACACATGCACAATCACACACAGACACACAAAGGTTGAACTTGATGGACCTGTGTCTTTATTCAACCTCAAATACTATGTAACTATGTAATTATTACCTTCTGTATCACTTGCACCTCTGTGTAGATTGTAAGCTCTCACATGCAGAGCCCTCTACTTCTTTTGTATGGCATTGTATTGTAATTGTACTGTCTCCACAATGTTGTAAAGCACTGGACAAACTGTTGGCGCTGTATAAATCCTGTATATTAATAATAATAATAATAATTTTCACTAGTACCTATTCGCACTTCAGCATTGTGTTGTTTGTTGCTTGAAAATGTACATTACCTTTTTGGGGGCAGAATTGGGTGTTTTTGGCCCCATAGACTTCAATGAAAGTGCCTGAAAAACACTTGTAAAGTGCATTTTATGTCTAATTTCTCACCCAACCATCTCCTCCTACTGACTAGCTTTCCAGTGGTAAAGCACAAAAAAAGCTTCAAAATACACGCAAAAAAGCTTCAAACTGGCGTACAAAATGCTCAGGCTCAAGTGTGAATGGGGGCCGTGCCTAAGACCATAGGCAATTGACAAGCCTTCCCCCCTAAAGATAGACAATGGTTCATGAGAGTGAATAAAGTTTGCCAAATAGATTTTTTTTGGTTTTACTGGCTTTAATTCTCTTTCAAGATTATGTGCCAACCAGAAGAAATTTTGCCAGGGGCTCTAAATCATTAGCTCTGATAGCATATCAGTTTGCAACAAGAGCTAAATATTCTAGTAAATAAACCAATTAATGGGGATGACCTGCAGAGCAATCCAAAGATGCGGTGTAAATGATAAAATATTCAAGTGGGATTACCATTAAAACTCTTTTTTTCCATGAGTTACATGTTTGAAAAAAGAACTGGGATGCTACAAGAGCATGAACATCGACTAGCGAGTACTTTCTGCATGTGGACACTCAGAGATGAAGCATTAGTGGCAGACCACACTACCACAAAAATGTTTATTTAAAACCGCCATGAATAGCGAAATTATACTCTCCACATGACAGAAAAATGTAACTTTAATAAAAAACATCTGAGTATATTTTAATACATTTAATTCTTTAAAAAGCCCAAATAGTTTTTGACTATACAGGGGTGGTGAGTTAGAATCCCTGTCTGGTTTCTATAGCTTTCTGTGTACCTGTTGGAGAGATGCACCCTCTCTATTTGTCCTGGTGACGATTGTCACCCATAGTGTAAGTGATAAGAAAGGCATAACGTTGAGTTGTCACCAGAGCAGGAATATAGAGGAAAGGTTGTGATAGGAACGTTTTCTTCAGTGACAATTGTCCAAGAGGTAATTTCTCTGTTTTCAAAGAGATTTTATCTCACTTCCTGTTGTGTCTACAGAGCAGGAAAAGAAAACTCTTGAATGAAACACTGGTTTTAAAAAAGTCACTCACTTCACTACCACTGTAGGTTTAGTAACTGCAGAGTCGTAGACATGTATTTCTGCAGTACCGTTTACAAGGCCACCATTAGGAATCATGGGGTCCCATACAGCTTACCTGGCAGGACCCCCACCCCTTCCCCAACTTTCCCACTTACATACACTGAGTGGCCAGATTATTATGACCACCTGACGTTTGTAGGCAAATTAGCTATAATTAGCTATAATTTCGCGCTGAAGTTGCTAGAGGGCCAGACCATTATAAATAGGGAAGCAGGTTGTTTACCACGACAGTAGAAGTGATTTTTTCTGAAGATACAGGGAAACAACGCGATTTAACAGCCTTTGAACGTGGGATGATTGTTGGCGCTCGGAGCCATGGAGCGAGTATCAGCAAAACAGCAGAATTGTAAAAATTTTCAAGAGCAGCTGTTGTTAAAGTGTTTAAAGACTGGACTGGGTGAAAATCTGGGTCTGAACGTGCGAATTGTGGCCGTCAGCGACTAGTCAATGTTAGGGCAGAACGGAGAGTGGCAAGACTGGTACAAGACAACAGAAGGGCAACAGTGCAGTGTCAGATTCCTCGCATCACCTTTCAACATCTCGTGGAGTCACGAGGCAGCTCAGCGAAGTCATCTCGTGGAGTCATCTCGTGGCCCAAGGAAGTACTGATGGGGTGGTCATAATAATCTGGCCACTCAGTGTACATGTGCATGCCTTATGCACTTGCGTTCGTTCGAATCAGATGGTGGGGGTGGCAGGGTTGGTTTTGAAATGTTTTATTTTATTTTTTACATGTTATATTACCTTTTTAAATTTCTTTCACTTAAATTTTGCTTTCACAAAGAGGCAAACAAGCCCTTATGCGACAGCATTTGGAGGTGACAGGCTCCCTTTATGGAACCTTCAGGGTTCTATTAGTGCAAGTGATCCGGGTGCCTGTAGAGCCGGCCAGATCATTTGTACTTGACGTGCTGTGTAGGCATCCCAGGGAGTTCTCATTGGGGGAAGCTGTGTGGGCAGCCCCTGCCAGGCCCCCTGCTGTCCTTATAGGGGACCAAGCCCAGTATGGTGTACCCCCTACTGGCGGCTCTGGCCATTTATATTGGCCATCATTAGACGCCACTGCACAATGTACAGAGCTGATCTGAGCAGCTTTTTCCTTGTGATCACTGTGATGACGAATAGTGTTTACATCTGAGAGCCCTTGTCTTCCTCTCACAACAGACGAAGAAGAGGAAGTAAGTATTTGTCAATGAAGATTTGTGTTCAAATGAATCAGCAGCAGCAGATTTATGATAAGGAATTTTAACTGACTATGGGAATGTTGTTGGTTTTTTTTTTAAATCTTCACCCCCCTCCTCTCCGTACTTCTCATCCACCACTCTGTCTTCATGTGATCTACATTAACACCTCCCTTATCCTGCACATTAGCCCGTTCTTCTCTGTGAGATGTTCCTGTGGTGTCCTCACGTCTAATACAGTTCATTGGACCTGCATAAGATGTGATGACATCAGCGGTCCATAGACCAGGGAAGAAGAGGCTGCCAGGACAGGTGTAACAACCTAGGGGAACTGTGGATCAGTTGAGCAAATCTGTTTGGTTTTTTTAGCCCCCAAGACAAAATGAATACTTAACTATTGCCGTGAGGGGTAACCCCACAACAAGGGTATGTTTTTAGTTTTCTGAGAGTTTTTCTTAAGCTGGAAATGCACCAGAAGAATTTTGTTTAAAAAAAATGTTTTTGGAGCATTCATTCGATTTACTAATGGTTAATGGGGTCAAATCAAATGGGATTTTTCATGTGAACATTAGCACAAAAAACTTCCAGTGATTGGCCAGCTTTAACATGTGCAGGGCCAGATTTCCCACAAGGCCAACCTAGGCCCGGCCTTGGGGCAGCAAGGAGTAGAGGGGCAGCAAGGGTGTGGAATTCCTATCTCCTGACGCCCGTGACATGCAGTGGCGATGTCTCCGAGATTACTTGTATGCAGGGAGGCACATTGAAGAACCTGGCATTGGGGCAGCAGAGAGAGTAAATCCGGCCCTGAACATGTGTGCACACTATTAGATTGCATGGGTCAGTAGACTACAAATAATAGGTTTATAGGAGTAAAACAACAGGATGGTGGTTCTAGCTGTTTACATACTAGTAAGTATAGCACATGTTGCCACTACACAAAGCTCAGAAACCGCTCAGAAATTGTTGAATGAATGTAGACTATTAAGTTTCCACATGTTGTTCTTTAAATCAGAAATTGCATTCATTGTTTTGTGCTTAAACAATTTCAAATGAAAAAAAAGCACACTGTTTCTCTGTTCCTTCAAGGAACATAATTGACCAAGTGGGTAATGCAGAAAAATGATTGTTTAAAGTACAGTTATGGAAGGGGGGGGGGCTTGTTCCCTCCATTATGTAATGTTTTGGCACGTTAAACACAGCTTACAAAGCACTTTGTTTCTTTTTTTTTTGTGTCTTGAAGCCGAATGAATTACTTTCTTGATAAGGAAAATAGACAGTGACTCCAACGCGCGGTTACGTATGCATCTAACTTTCCGTCCAGACTGACGATTTATTTTCTTGAATTCTTTCCAGTTCTACGGATGCGTATTAAAGAGGTGAAGATTGAGAACGGCGACCGAAAGCTCATCGCAGCTCAGAAGAAAAAGAAAGTATTAAAAGCGGGAAAGCTAAAGAGGAAAGAATTCCGCAAGCTGGTTTTGTACATCAAGAACGCAGCGGGCTGCCCGTGCCCTCAGCTTGACAATCTGAGCGGCAGCTTCCTCATCATGGGCCGGAAGGTGGACAATAAGCTTCTACTTACCGCCATCTACAAGTGGGACAAAAAAAGCAAAGACATGAAGTATGCCGTGAACTTCATGTTTACCTACCCCTGCTCCGAAACCATTTCTCACAGCGCGGGGTCACACTTAGCATCTTTCCGCTAAGATGAATGTCTAGAGAACTCAAAAGAAGAAGCCCTCACCCAGCCTTACCAAATGGACTTTATATCTTAGCAATAGCAGTAACATAGCATACTCAGCTTACAATAAAGAAAAAAAACACTAGGGTAGTCATTGCAAATGAATCAGCAGACAGGGTGAAGAATGTGATCCTTGCAAGATGAGACACGGCAAACGGGAAAACGAACGCACAGCTTAACTTGAACGATGTTGAAAAACAACAACAAAAAATGGTTGAACAGTCAAAAAAAATAACTGGAACAATACACATATAAGTCTAACATTGTCACGATTGTTAAAAACATTTGTTTATCATTCCCTTAGGCTAATGTATTAAGACCTAAATTTGACACTGGTTTAAAAAAAAAAGAAAAAAGTGCACAAATTCTACAGAAAAATTGCTGAATCGTGACTGGGCAGATGTATTCTAAAATAACTTATATGCCGCTTGATATCAAGTCAGAATGCCAGAAACGATTTCTCTTTTTTTGTTAACCACATACGCCATGTAGCTAGCTAGCTATTGGTAATAGGATAGCGGCTGTAGTTTGAAAAATAGGCCCTTTGGGTGTATTGTACGTACATAACAAAAAAAATTTTTTTCAATGTCCATGGAGTGAAATTTTGGTGTAAATCAAAACAAGAACATATATATATTCCTCTACAATACGCCAAAGCTGTCAGAGATCAGTGCATTGTCCATGAATTATTACCTGTAGGTTCATGAATGGAACACATTATGCTTAGGTGTGATTTAAAGGCACTCTGTAAGCTTTGCATGGCCATGAATAATCATACTTTATACACTCCCAGATTCCAAAGTACTATCCAAAATTTTAGGAATGGCCAAGGTCTAGGATGGGGGTGTAGTACGCAGTACTGCCCAGAGCTTTAGAAAGAGAGTTTGTTTAGAAGAGAAGTGTAAAATCCCTACCAGGATCTTGCCATCAACTCGTGGGGTATCCAAATTAGATATATTTGTCTACTAAAGCTCATCTTTAGCCCCCCACCTTTAATGGACCCCCCCTTATGGCTCCAAATGGCAGTATTTTATTTGTGTAGATTTTTTGGAAAGTAACAGATGGGTCTTGTGAGTCACAGGGTCCACTTCTCTGGACTGGGTTGTCCTCACTGAGTGACACTGACATGACAACATTAGCTCGTTGTCTGCACCAGCACACTGTGAATGAAGGACACCATTGTGAGGCCACCTCAGGAGGTGCGGCCATGACGCCCAGAACTCACAGTATGTGCTTAATCTTCCAAGCAGAGTGATGCTAAGCATCATTCAACCCAGAAGAGAACATCTTGTGGTGAGGAATAGGTACTGCAGGGACAGTTTCAGATTGTATTTACAGCCTGAGAGGACTGTTTTATTAAATAAAAATTAAACCCAAGGTTCCGCTTTACGTTCTGTTCGCTCACTGATATCACTAGTTGCCAGGAGTTCGGCGAGATGCAAGCCAGAGCATCCCACTCAGCTCTAAGCAACCGGTGGCACCAGTAAGCTGGACATGACATTAGACAGAGAGTACCAGGTAGCTAAGTGCTCTTAGCAACCTGGGATGCTGGGGCCGCTTCCCCCAACACCCAGCCACCCCCAATGAGATGCCGCCTGCCTCATTATGGGGGTGGCCCTGGGCTTCTGTTTCGTACTTTTGTAGTTAATAGGGATGATTTACTAGAGGCAAGGGAATTTCTCTTAGCTGTGTGAATGAGGTGAAGCTCTGCTGACTTCCATTATCTGATCAAGTGCATGCAAATATAGCGTTTTTGTTTTATCTTGCTTGCTCGTGATTGGGTATTCTTTGCAAAGCAAATTTTTACCATATTCACTAAGCTAAAGGAATATTCCTTTGTCTTTGGTAAATCAACCCTGATGTGTTTGCCTTTTTCCTGTTCATTGTATAACTACAGGTTTGGAGACACTGTTGGGGCAATTGCAGACTTACTGAGTATGCTAAAGGCACACATAAACATGGGATCCTTTTTATGTACAGATATTATTGTCTTACTCCCAAATATTACATTATCTGTATACGGATGGTGTCAAACAGAATCACACCCAGACGTGTACGGTAATACAATTAGATTAAGCAATACTTTATAAGTTTATAAGTATACGTTTACCTGTATTTAAAACCTTATTTGGGTGCCCCCACTCAGGATCCAGATGCAGTGTGGACCTATACCCAATATTATATCAGTTGGATTGCAGACCACCCATGATTCCTAAACTACTGTTTACCCTAGGGAAGTTTTTTAATTGTTTTTAATTGTCTTGTTGTGGATGTTATTGTTTAAGTTTTTCTACGATTAAATATTCAAATTGTTAAATTTCATATTTTCTACCTGTTTACTGAACCAGCTCCGAGTAAGGGATTTCTATAATCTTGGGGACACTTCATATTTTGAATAGTTTTGTTGAAACCCTGGAGACTGGTATACTATATTATAATATTATTGGCTCGGCGTAACTCCATCCTGGTCCCCTTTTTGCTGCATATACCCAATATCTCTTCAACACGTGCCAGAGTTTACATTCATTTTTTACTAGACTGCAGTGCAAAGGCACAATTAGAGGTTCTATAGAAAGCCATCTCTGCTCCTATATAGTTGGTTGGAAAAAAAAGGACATTCATTGATTTCCATAGATTCAGCTCTCCTATTCATCTCAAATGAAACCGTAATTGCGCTCATGCACTGTAGTACAAGCAACTGGCCGAAAAATAAATGTGGAACGCTCCGCAGTGTGAAAGAGCAATGGACAATGAGGAACAGCTCTGGGCTGCATCTGAGGTCTATATGCGGGCATACTGAATAGGAGGTGAGGAAACCCACAGAGAATTTAAAATAGAAAAGTGAAATTTTACTTTAACGTTACATAAAGGGAACATGACACATGCTATATAGTATTTAATAATTATTTACAAAGGCTATAATCTCGTTGCCCTTCTTTACCCCATTATGTTTATCAGCAGATATGAAGAGAAAGGCAATATGACTTTTAACAGTACTTTAAAAGCATGAAAGTAACTTCAACATAAAGCCTTTGAAAGCCTACAATATTTCCCACTGCAGTTCCTTATTCAAGTACAAAAGGGACCTTCATTTGTCAAAAGGTATCTTCCTCCCATTATAGGGAACTTTTGGAGGCATTACACTATAGTCACTTGTTCCTATACAGTGTATGTGTCCAAGATAGTGCAGTTTCTCTTCTACTAATACTTTAAGCTGTGGCCTTCATGCATAACCCTATTTTTTACCCATCCCCCCCTCCCGCCCCCACTATCATCGTCCCACCCTCACTTTAAAAACATTTTCATGATTCATACTTTAATTCCTGGAGTTTTTAAAGTGGTAACATAAAAAGCTTATCAGCATTGCCAGCGGGCAGTCCGCTTGGTTGCATAGACCAGAGATCATTCTATGGCACGGGCATTAAAGCATATAAAAAAGTGGACTTTGTTCCAAGTCGCCTTCTGCTATAAGAGAGAACATGGGGGTAATCTCATGTTATAGTGTGCAATTACGTCTTTATTGTTCAGTCGTGTTCTGAGATGGACCCATTGAAAGGCTATTTTGTTTAATTGCAATGCAGGCCCAAGACCAGACTATGCTGTCTGGTAAGGGTATCTGGATCAACAGACTACCTGAACAGAATTACAAATCCTTTGCCAAATAAAACTATTCATATGTAATGCAACTGAAAAAAATACTGTGTCACCAAGCAAAAGGCCCGTAGGGTATTTAACCATTTTAACTTTTCTTTAACAAAAATCTGGACCAAACAAAGCAGCAAAGCGCATGACACGAAAAAAAAAATAGATTTTGTATTCTCAATGGTCCTTTTTCTCACCCTAATTGCTTCGTAATAAACCAGTGTTTTTACTTGCAACTCAATGATGGTGTGGCATTGTTAGAGAAAGCAGTTAAGATTAATAAAAAGTATTTAAATGTGATTGGCCTTTGATTGATGAATGAGAATATTTAAAGGTAATGTATCAAATATTTTTAAGGCATATTTTGTAAGGCTTGTTGATTGTACTCATTGCTTTGAATTTCAATTAATTTGTGATATCCAGTGGATAAGAATATTTGGATGGACGTCTATGTGACAGCTCTAA